AAATCTAGCAAATATTGGCAGTACACCAATGTCCCCCGAGTAGCTGCAAGACCATGTATCATAAACTGGTACAGGTCTTGCTAAGTCCATACAACTGCGTCAGTGGACATTTTTTGGGAAAACTTCTGGGCGCTGGGTCTCTGTTTCGTACGATGTTCAATTGCTAGGAGCAGTGGATTACCGTGCCAGGTCTTCCAGCATGCATGTGTACAAACAAGATCAAGGCAAGCAACATTCTGAAAAACAACGCTGCGAAGAAATTGAGCCTACAACCATCGATTTCCTCAAAACTTGTCGGAAGACAAGATCTGTCGCTTTCGTTGTCTGGCTCTCCTAGCGTCACTGGCCGGTGATATCAGAATCCCGGAGAGCACACTCACCCGGAGCTCGAACTCTCCGAGTCAGCTGGTCATCCAGCAGTGGGAGATCGGCAGTATTTGGACATAAGGGAGTGTAGAAGACGAAGATGCGATCACTGGAACAAGAAATTTATTGGCCTGACGTTTCGGATTCTCACTCGAATCCATCATCAGAGACATTCGCAGATAAAGGGAATGTCGTGCGGAACCAAATCCAAATCACGGTATCACTGGCTGATAACGGCAAATAAGGTCACTCCAGTGCTCATAACCTTGTTGGAAAGCAAAGTTACTTATTTTGATGATAAGACGTCAGACACATGTCAGGCTGTCCGTCTTGAGCTAATTGGCGCTCCAACTAGTTGTCTAATTTCGCCATGTGTTGGACAAAATGCAGCTAATGTTTTAAGATGACCCCACCGATAGTCATAGTTTGACGAAATTTGGTGAATCAGATATTGCAAACATTTTTTCATTGCGATAGACGCATTCCACATGAATCAAGGTTTTTGAGTGGATCCTAAAGCAGATGGTGTTACCTCCATGACTTTCAATACTCATAAACACGGAATCTAGTCACCATTTAGTGTATGCCCCGTCCACCTCAGGAGCTCAGTGTTACTGCCCTCGATCCGGTACCGTTGCCCCATTGGAGGCGTCGAAGAGGGGGTGAGTTCAAAACCTGGATCGACACTGTCCGTCAAGACATGGAGGTGGTTCTTGGACCTTCGGTATTCGGTCTCCGTCGTTGGCGAAAGGAATGGGTTGAGCTGTCTAGATCTGCTGTCGCAGATCGTCAGGCGTGGAGAGGTACAGTTCGGGACATCATCGAGGCCGGCTAGATCAGGCATGATCGCAGCCGTATCAAGTACAAGTACAAGTTAGTGTATGCCCAGTGACACACTGCCCTCCGATGGAGAATATGCCTTGACACCTCTGACGGTTCAGGTCGCAAAAAACGCCCGCATTGTGTGTACTTTCGCTCGATTTTCGGTACTCAAGAAAATCTATTATCTTCCTTGGATGGTAATGAGTAAAGGTTCTTTTCTAGTATTCTTTTAGCGGATTGACATTCGAAAGTACATATTTCAGTTTTAAGATCCTAAGTGGTGCATACAGCTTCAAAAAACACAACCTCCGTGTTTCTAGGCGTCTGAAGAAAAGGAAATACCTGTTATAAAGAATTTTCGGAGAAATCTTCTTGACGCAGACATAAAACTAGTATTAGTCAGCGGGAAGGTTTCGAAAGTCTCCAAATTCTCTTAAAACTGAGGTATTTTCCTCTTTCAAAGTCTTCTATTCACGGCATTACACAGAGGAATATGGACCATCCGTGTCCCGACATTGACCCTAACCTCAAATCTAACACTTGGAATTTAAGGCCTGGCCACCTGTGATACGGGAAGGTCCATATTGTTGTGTCTAACCGCGATGCGAAATGGAATGTTTCTAAAACCCTTTTTGTAAAAAAGGACTTTGACATAAGTATTTTTTTAAAAAATTAGAATGTAAACTACCCGTGGCAACTTTTCTACAAAGAAAATCCCGGATTGAGAACCCCTAAGCCACGGTGCAGACTGCATTCCATGCGGCAGCCTTCTCTGCCCCAACATTTAACAAGTCTGGTCGCTATGCATAGACGGTTTCTACCCGGCGAGCTCTGTTCTACGGGTCGGAAGTTAGCTACTTTTTCATCGTAGGCAGGCAACGATGGTGGTCGGCGCTTCTTCATATAGTAAAAAAACCCCATGCAGAAAATCACCACTTTAAGAGAACTCGAATACACGGGAACGGTGTGTATATATGGAATGGAAATGGCATAGATCCCCCAGTGGAAGTAACTTAATACGGATATACTACTGTTGACGAGGAGCGACTGAGCATGCTGTACGAGGAACGCAGGGTTGAGCAGAAGTAGTTACGTTTAGCCCATATTACGTTCTTCGAGTACGTCCTATGAACCATAAACCCACACACACCCACACAAGCGGAGCCGTTTGGAACAGAAGGGCGTGAATCTCCAGCCATTAAAGTGCTTTGAAGTACCGAAAAGACAAGCGCTTCGTGTGTTGTTCCATAACAACAGAGGTAGGACCACCCCGCCACTGGAAAATCCGCAAAGTAAAAACTTGGATAACAATACGTTGAGAAATATAGGCCTGGTCTAAGCGCAGGAAGACGCAATAAACGGGAAACAAGTAGGAGAGCGGGGGAGGGGGACGGCGGTTGAAATTTACCTTAAGCAGGTAGTGGATATCGTTCAGAGTTGCAGCAACAAGTGGATTCAGAAGACTCATTAGGAGCTTTCGTTGGGAAAGAAGACGCGGAACCAGATACTTCTTTGCTCTGAGG